GTTGCACCTGTATCGACCATTGCCTGAACAACCACATTGTTCAGGCGAATCTGCACAAACATCAACCCCCTTTTTGCCACTGTCTCCTCTTTGCGAATTGCATTAAGAAGTTGTAATGGGTTGACTCGTGTTGGTTTGTCAGAACAATCAGTTTCCTCAGCCATGAGGGCACTGAGCTTTTCCTTCTTGGGGCAATTTCTGGCACGATGAGGGCCATTACAGATAAAACATCCTAAGTCAACACCTCCTTTTGATGAAGAGGCTTTGTCAGTCTGTTTTTCTGAATTGCTAAACTTCTCAGCCTTTTTCTTTTNGATTAGCTTGCGTTTTGTAATCAACCAGCGCGTTTGCTGCGGACATAGCAGCGGGTAAGCCCTTCGCCCCTTGCCGACGAAGTTCTACCTGTGCCCAAGTTTGGAGGCCAGACATAAAGTTGAACAGTTTGTCTTCCTCTAACATATTTTTAATGTCAAGCATCAGAGACGAGAATTGTTTCACGTACTCTCTCACGGTGCTTGTATGTCGAAGTTTCCTCAATGCATCACGGGCTTGCCAAGCCGTGTTGCTGGGAAGAAATTGCTCCTTCATTTCAGCGGACAGAGACTCCCAAGTAGTAATTGGAAGACGAGATTTGTCCTCAGAACGTGTTCGCCACCATAATTTAGCATCACCGGACAGGTACATGCTAGTGAGATCTACCTTCTCAGCATCCGGAGTACGAACTGCTTTGAAGTAATGTCCCATATCCCACAGAAAATTCTCGAGTCCTTTAGCATTTCGACTGCTTGTGAAAGACTTAAGGTCAGACACTTTAGCTTTCTGAGTGCTTTCACTGCCAGAAGCCACAGGGGCATTCTGCAATGCCCTCTTAAGCACTGAAGCGTCGATCTCGAGGAAACTCAATTTTTCCCCCATATCATCGGTCCATGTGGAGATCGTAACCAACACGTCAACGACTTCGTTTTTCACTCGACTGAAGTGATCAGATTCAGTCTTTTGAAGTTGTTCCTGTGCAACACGCATCTCTTCGAACCGCTGATATAGCAACTCAATCTGCACAGAGAGAGCTACAGCATCACCAGACTGTGGAGGACCAACCAGCTCCTCCAACCGTGCCACCTTTTCCCTTAGATCANAAGCTGATAGATACAAAACTTTAGATAAAAAGCCAAAAAGACTCAAACCTCGACAGATCTGTTGAGCAAGAGCATAACTTAACAAAGAAACAGAATAGAGAAGAGTTGAGAAGGTCAACCAGACCACTAAATGGAAAATACTATGGGTTAGGATTTTACCAAACTGTCACAGGGTAACTTTCATTTTTCTTTTGAGGCTACCTGTGAAGGCGTTACTATTACAACCAGCCACACTCAACTCAAGAATAAGGGACAGAAACTCACACAGAAGGCACACACGAAT